AATTGCTGTTGTATTTATCCGTGGTCATTTACAACTCCAATTGTACTCTACCAATTAGGGTCAATGACTTATACCAGTGGGGTGTACAAGAAGCCTCGTGGGGTAATTGGTCACTCTAATGTGGTCAGTTTAGGGTCCTCAGGTGCGACTGGACAATGGTCAAGATGTAGACCATAAAATAATTTTTCAAAGACGTTTATGCTACCTATTAGACGCCGCCTAATAATTAAGGCATCCGTGAGGTATCGCTATCTCAATTAAGGTGAGCTATTCAGAGGTGTAGGCTATTCATTAGCCAATATTACTCTGCGGTGACATAGCGTTAAGCTTACAGATTACGCAAATGATACGACATTTGTCGTGGACAGTCCTTTGATGTTTCGGACATAAACATTTCACCTGACCTTCGATGGCTTAAATTGGAGGGGCAGTTGGGACTTATGGTTGAATAACCGTTGCGTTACAGTTGACATGACAATGTACTTCAACAATACTTTATTAGAGGTTAACTTTTGTTGAGGTTCAAAGGATCACACAGAACCCATGTACATTTGAGGTCATGTCGGTATTGAAATAAAATGACTCTGGGTCAAGCCGCTTGGGAAATTGCAAGATAGATAATTTAGTCAAACTAATTTGTTAATACGCTTTTATTTCAACGATGACAAACTGTATAGTTTTAATTACCACAAAAGACTCTCGATACAGTTCTGTAATTATTGCTCCCATCAAAAGATCGTTTTTTAATCTTGACATAATCGATGTGATTACAAAGTATGTCGATACAACAAAGGTTGCTGATGTCGATCTCCCCGGTTCACCATCACGTACACTACATGACCTTATCACTTTCCATCAAGACTGGTTACATCTGAAAGATTTTGACACATTTAATTTAATGTATGAGTTTTTTAAACGATTACGTATATTTTACTTAATGTATGGTTGTACAAGGTACATCGATAAGCATTATCCTTATACACAAAAGACTATTTTTTTAATATCTTAATGGCATAATATAACAAACATTAAGATATCACTTGCATCTATTATTCACTACCCAGGCTGAAACAAAACAGCTGAAGAACTGAGTAGAAGTTGTTGTAGGTAAGATGTATTTTTAATAGGTGTGTTACAAAAACGTTCGTTGCGACGGATTATATCTGTCAATAATAATTTCCATATACCATTGACCTTCATATTTAGGTATGGTTAACGATATATACATCTGATTGTGTCTACGATCTGATTTCATTAGCATTATGATTTATTTTCCTTGAGACATTTTTTACATATCTCGTATAACTCAATTGTCAACCTCCCATGTTGGATGTAGGGGTGAGATTTGAGGTTACGGCCGCTCAATAAAGTATAGTGGTCAGTGAAGTCGTTCCGAAAGTCCAGTAGTGACCAGGTACCTGGTGCTATATTGCATGTCCAGTGGTGTCTATCTGGTCATTTCATCACGCCATGACCAGTCCGACACGCATCATGCTCGGTCAAGCATATTGGTGACCGTTCGATAAGTCTACATACAATAAGTCGCACGAACATCAAAGAGGCCGCTCTGCAAGGTGAGGGATGTGTCCGCCCTGGGCCGGAAAAGCACCGAACGACCCATAACATTAACAAATCGTGCTTTTGAAATCTGTCTGGGGATATGAACATTTGAATAAACGCTCCAGTTTGTGCTTTCTTAGAACATAGAGATAGAGGTATGGCTAAACTATCGCGTATGAAAAGGTGTGAAGTAGCACAATACTTTCTGCGTAACTGTCATGCCCGTTTGGGTTTTTACTATTGAGGCGCACATTCAACGAGCCCCAAATAACCGAAGAGCCGTCTTTTGGTACTGATTAACTCCCCTGGATTGGGATTTCAATAGCCAAAATGGCTTTTTGATTCCAATTGAACTTGTGTATAGAAGAACGAGGGGGTGAAGAGGGGAAGAAACGGCCACAAGACTCTCCTACTGGGAACTCTTGACTGCCATAGAATATACATACAAAACGGTTTTATCGCGCTACAATCATTCAACAAGTCTTTCGCTATCGATATGCTACGGCGTGAATCTTTTGAAAGGACCTTTGTTGGAAAATGTTACTGTGGAAAACTTCAAAGTGGACAAGCTGCGTACTCAATGGTATAATAAATACGCAGGATAAAGTGGCGTTTGTTGACATTTGTCCTGCTTAGGGACATCAAAGATATGCGATATTCTGCTAATGTTACCAAACCACGAATCTTAGCTCTTTTGAAAACCGTCGCAAATGGCGGTGAATAAACGACAACTGTACATTTCATGATTGAGTGACAAGTACATATTAAGGATAGACTTGGGCGTGTTATTATAGACCTACGTTGCGCTATGTGTACTCACATGGCGATGTATATTTCACAATACCATCAGACATTGTTAAAGGACAGATCGTATGACAATCCTGCGATGTTGATTTGACCTTGGTGGCTGAGATTAAACTGCTTATCTCGTTTCAAACCCGCCACAATTACTAGAGTGCTTACAATGTAAAGAGCTTGCTTCATTTAACAATTATTGGTGGGTTTTTATGTTAAATGTTATAGTGAGCTACGTTTCACGTATACTATAACGCAGGATTAATGTACAGAAGAGATGACACATTCTAAACTTAAGGTTAAACTACTAGTTTATTTGTCACAAACGCCGTACACTTAATCGAGAATTACAAATATGTACTTGAATCATTAATACAATGATTATTTATTATTCCCCTTAAAAATCACTTTACAATCTATGTGAGGCATTCCAAGTTTACTTACATGTAGAATACAAAAAGCATTGTTACATATTGCTTTTTATTTCTTTTTAAGATTCCTTACAGTTCAAATTGTTTATTTCAATGCAGTTATATAAATAACAACGACAGTGAGCTCGCCCCTCTATTTTGTCAACTAGACACTGCAAATGCATTCTGGTATTGAAATACAACTAACAGGTGTTTGGCTTTTTTCAAAAGAAATGGATCTTAAATTTTACAATGCGTTTCAATCCGTGTTAGTTTCTACCCCTTGTGTGGTGAAACTCGACTCTGCCTTGATGGGTTTTTTGTGAGAACACTATCATAGCCAAAATCTCATAGGGGCGCTTTGTCTCCGGTCCCAACAAGGGGAGTCCAAATTCACCCTGTTTTACAACCGGTTGCCTTCAAACTGACAAACACAACCGTCTCCATGTAACATTTAACCCTTGCCCAATCTTCCAGTCATGTAGTACTACACTCACAGACAACGCGGAAGTGTTTTGGCGCTATGTTAGCGTTAACGTAGCCTTTTAAAAATCAATTTCAATTCTCGTACGACCATGTATTTATGGTGACCAATGTTGACGTTGTTTTGAAGTTCCTATCGTAACTGATGTAGCTGATGTTTGCACTACCGTATTATATTGATTGTTTGTTGCCTAACACATAAGGTGGAATCACTTTCTACACGATACATAAAATGTATAGATTCTATGATATTGATTAAGTGTTTGTTTTTTTATGTCATATTCATATTTCATATAATGCCATGCATATTGTTTATTAATTTCTAAAAACAATGCCACTGAAACTGTTTTACATCAATATCAAATATATGTCTATCAATATTTTACCATATATCATATTTGGGATTACGCTTTCTTATTTTTGTACAAATTGTAGTACGTTTTTGGGTGTCCCATGCGGGATTTTAACTGCCACTTAGAAAAGTACCAGCATTTGCACCTTACTTAGAAAGCGTAATCCTTAATATAATATATGTTACATTAGACCACTTTCAAAAAGGCATTATCTATGTATAAATATGTTCTTTGTAAGCAAAACATGAGGTTAAGTACTCCTTAAATAAGCACTTTGAACGACACCACCACATTATGTGTATAGCGTTCGTTTGAACGTTGTATGAAAATGAACGAAAATGTTCGAAATAATTGCACTGTCATTTGTAAAATTATTCGTAAACATACTTTTATTAAGTTATAGTTTAAACAAATCCTAATTACATCTTTTCTTTATTTCGAACTTCCCGTAATTATTTCTCAAATTGTTTCGCTGTTCCCGTTTGTCTGGTCCGGTGACCAAAACACTCCATCAGTATAGAGTTTTACTCAGGCCATAAAACATAGCCTTGACAAAAGACTGGTTGTTCCGGCACAAGACCGTATTTACATGGAGTACAAGATTACTGGATAAGGTGTCACCAGGTAGTATCTAATTTTACAAAGAATGTACATAGATGGTCAACTTGAACAGGAGGGCAGAACACCCTGAATTGCAGGGACGACAGTGTTAATGGTGTTGTAGACAAAACAGGAACCTAATAGTGCCACGTGCAGCTGTTAGACGTTATGTTTATGGAATTATGCCAGGAATCACTTAAAACTGAAGGACCAAATAAGTTTTAAACGTGTAATATTAAGCAACCAGTTAAGTTGACACAATGTGAATAATAGAGTTTCGGGTAGTTTCCCAGTGTCTATGATAATACTCATATGGTATTTATTGTTTAAGGTTAACACAAAGTATATCGATGTTAATATTATTTTTTTAAATTGAAACGACGATCGATGCCTGTGTCAATAACAACATCGCTCTTTTTATATTTGGTATTTAAAACCACACAATAATACGAGTTTTAAACGTGTGGACAAACGGTTGTATTTTGAGGGGATGGTTTCAATGAGACCAAATTTCGACTCGTTGGTTTTAATAACGTATTTTTTAGCCACGCCATGTGTTTCAGGGAGGATAAATTATCAAGTTTAAAAAAACACCAACTTAATGTTATCTCACAAAAAGTTTGTTGGGGTTACTATTCCCACAATGCACCGCAATCCTCGCAAGGTTATGGTGATTGGATTTTTCAAAAGGTCATTGTAAAAGTAGGAATTGCAGCTTTCGTTTCTTTGGATCCCTCGAGCACCATCTTGATTGCATTTTTGGTCATTGACGGCAAATAAAGATAATGAAATACTGTACCTGACACCTTTGCCTGATCACGTGGTTTGTAGATGAATTGTCACAAGGCTAATACGAGGTTTGGCCCAGGGCTCCTGAAACGAAATTGGATTTGAAGTAATTCCAAGGCAGAGAAAAAATATTATTTAGCACAACGGGAAAGCGAAGATTTTCCAAATAAAATACAGAAGAAATTTTTAGTAGTTGAAGGAAACTATTGTTGTATTGTACCTATTAATTTTGTGTTATGCTTATCATAATGTGTCGTGTGTTTTTTATATTATGGTGTTTATTGTGTTTTTGCTATGATATGTCTGTAAGTTCATTTAATGGTCTTAATATATAACACCAAACAATCGTGTTATATTATGTTGTATTATTTTAAGTTAGTAATATAATGTTGCCTTGTTGAGATGTGTTACATTTTCTTTTGTCAATGCCATGTTTGTTATAATTGTTTGGCATGTCTTGTTTTATGTAAGTCATGTTATGTTATTTTATGGTGTGTTTATTATTCTAATTTATGCTACGATATGTTTTTTTATCATGTCAGTTCATCGTTACGTAAGCATGTCATATTTTTTTATGCTGCGAAATGTTTTGATGTTGATCATTAAGGTGCATAGTATGTAACGCTATGGTACTTCATGTTGGGATATGTTTTACTATTTTTTTTTATGCAGCATTGTAAACAGTACATATGTATAATACACGTATCAGTCTAATAGTACATCCATAATTTCACGAGCCGATTTCTTTATTTCGAAACAAAACATTTCTTCCGTATCAATGGTTTTCATGTTTTAGCGGAGATATTGCTTAACCATCCAACCAGTGCTCTGTGTTCAACTGAATAATTTACGTTTCGCATTGGTTACCAGTATTCAGAGCGTTCAATCATGAGTTCATCAGGTAAAGTGCCATAGGATGATTGACACATAATCAATCCATTTTCAAACATATATGTTGATTTTTAACACATTATGAAAATAAAATCTGTTCTAATGTTGTTTCTTTTGGGGGGAAAATACACTCGTTCGTTTTGTTGCCTTTTGATATATTACAAATGATATGTACCTTTACACCACGGATGGATGAATTATATAACTTCAAGCTGTTGTAAATTGACCTATCAATTGTATGAGTTGTAAAAGGTGGTCAACTCTTCGCGAACATGCTAATGATTATGTCGGAATCATACAATGGACTAAGAGAATACTTATGATAATGATAAATGTTTAGTCGCTTATTTGTTTATGTATTATTTAAAAGAAACATGTGTTAAGCGTAGGAAATGTCATAATGTAATAAAATTATAATATTACAAAAACAACACGACTGTTGCATTGGTATTATTTTTAGCAATTAACTTAAATCATGAAATACATGTTAATCCTTTGGTTAAGTATTTAGACAAATGTAAAAGCGACGAACACAACAAAAACATATTAAGCTGCCTGTTGTACATGTAAACATGGGCAATAAACATCTTAATAAACGAAATAAACATGAAAGGTTTAATCAATGACATGACAGCACAACGAGGCTATCTATAGCCGCGCTTCCCAGATATACCTTCAACTATGTCAGACGGACACGAGAAGTCACGGAATTTCCTCATCTTAGTGCTAAAACACTAATCCATACAATGCACAGCAGACCATTGAATCACGTGACAGCATTAATGTATAATCGCCATGGCAACGACAAACACTGGTCTCAAATAAGCACCGCATTATCTTTCTGTCATATTTCTTGCTCGCAAGCGCTGATAGTCTCGCTTCGATTACCTCCCCTACGTTTAACTCTCCACTCTTTGATTTCGATGCAGACATGCGCACATGTTACAGCATAGGGTCACGTGACATGGCCCTCTCTGATTACATAAACATTATGTCTATTAACTGCGGTTCAACAGGTCAAGTAATTAGGGTACCGACAATAAAACTCGTGATTCACACAGCGAAATCCCAGGGCAGTGCGGCCCGCGTACTTAGCCGTAGACACAATAGCAAGTTCTAACATCATTTGGTAGTCGAACAGTTCATATCACTGTGAAAAGTGATGCGAAGAGCGTTGAGCCGGCTCAGTTTCACGAGACATAATAGCACTTCGGCTCTAGGAATTCTACACACCATATTTTTTATAAAATGGGCAATTATCATTTGGTCGAACATCAAGGCAATAAGGTAACCTCTTGCTCCTTTTAACTTTTATGATAAAATATTCCGTCTCTGAATTATGAGTTTTCCATTCATGGTTTATTAAAGTATATATTTGTATTAAAATTTGTCAACCGCAAAAGTCCTATTCATAACCCATGAAATGAAAGTAGGTTAGACATAAGAAATTGTAAGGACTGTTATCTGGAAATGTTTTGTACTGTTTATTGAGCCTTAAAATATGATATTTAAACCCCAACGAAAACCGCCCACATATATACGTCCATTAAACTAATCTCTTTTAGGTAATAACATATCTGAGATCACCACATGAACGGTTGCACATGTTTGAATGTTGTGTCGATAAGAATGCCTTACTTGTAATTATCCCTTGTACCGTTGAAACATACAAATAACTTATACTTGTATCATAGAAACTGCAATATTTAGTGTGGAATAGGTCTTTTCTTTTCGCCCCATACACAAAAACACGTGTTTAATTATCATGAATTAAACCAGTGGGTTATTTTGAAATCACAAATTTTGTAATTCATGGTAAATTTAGCATGTAACCGTAAATGAACAATACAGTTCATGTTGTTTCAATAACAACTGATGCTGTCATAAATATATTAGTGAGTTTGTATTTGTGTATGTTCGTGCTTTAGACAATGCATTTCAGCAGAGCAAAATCACCGAAATATTGCATAAGGACTGACGACCCCACGCGTGAACTGACAACAACTCTCAAACCCGTCACTCGTGAACTGGAGAATATTTAATCACACCCATTATGCACGAACTGATATGACCAAATCATAAAGTATCAATACGATTTAATTCTATATGCAGCATATAATACAGGAATTTGGGAATTACCAAGAAAAGGATAACTTTTTATCAATTCAGAAAAATATTACCAAGTTATTGTTCTTAGTTGTCCAAGCATTTTGCTAAATATGATTCGAATTGTGTCCAATTCATTTGGGGTGCTTAAAAAGTCATAAAACCCTTAATAAAATTTTCAAGTATTTTTATTGTCGTTTTGTTAATGTTTCTTGCGATCGTGTCGCTGGAAATGTCATTAGTTGTAGTAACAGAATTATTTCTATTAGAATAGCCATATCATTTTCGGTAGCTTATATGTTAAATACACGGTCAAAGAACATTCTCTAGGGCCTATCCAATACTAGAAACAAAATAATACCATACTGGTGTGGGGGAAACGATTGCCATTGTCCGATAGTGTTCACATAAATTATTTAACATATTAATTTCAAAATCTGATTGACGAGTCATCTATTAAGTTCGTTAGTCATTTATTGTTTTCGTTTAGTTCTCAGTAGTAAGAACGATGACGTTTCATGGTGCGTTTTGTGTCGTCATTTCGCTTCAACTTCAAACGTTACAATCAAACATATAAATAGTCGGTGTTTTTAAGTCAGACAAAACACTCTTTGGGTAAGCTTGTATCCATCATATTTTAAGTCATATTTCGATTGGTTTATACGATTCATATGATATTAATTTATCACCATTATGGCAGGGTACATTTTGAAAGGCGAACTGGTGAATATTATTATGCATTTTTATGATTTATATAAATGTTGGTCATTGTATAAAAATAACATTAAAAAAGATTAGCATAATGTTCGTGCATTTTGTATTAATACTAATGCCTTTTGAGCTACGAACCTCGGGCAGAAATCATAGTAGTTTGACTGTAATCAACTAGGGATTAGTCTCAGATCGCCCCGCCTCCCTGTCTTAGCTCATGCGTGGGGCACGTATCAAATATCTTTATTAATCTAAACAAAGAAAATTCCGGATGGGACACTTTTGCAAAATAAATGAAGTCTTGGCCATATTTTAAGAGAATCGCCCATGCAAGCTAATGAAGGGGGTTAAGTAATTCAAATAAAAACGACTGTTTTTATCTTTTCGGTCCCGCGCCTGATTCGTGGACTTAATTCATTTGATCCCTACAGATGCGACGTTTTAGGACCTAGCCCAGATATTCCCTGTGTCATTTCTTTCTTCTAATTGGAGGAACTTTGTAGACGATTCCCCATCATGCATGTGCAGGGACTTAATTAAATGCACACACCACCCTCACAATAACGCGTGCTTTGTATAACTTAGTAAAGTCGTTGAAAAATGTATTATTGAATCATATATATGAACCTGTTTTATTGGACTTAGTTGTTGTAATATTACATAGTTTGGATAATCGAAATCGGTATTGTAATAACGACTAGAAATAATCGCGTTATATTGAGGCGATGCCCTCTTTCATGGATTATCTATGCGGGACAATCTGTCTTCTACCATAATGAAGTTGAACAGGGATGAAATATAGAAACCGATGGATTGGTGATGGCAAGTAAAGTGTAATGAAACAGAGGTGATTCCGGTGCTCAGCGGATGAGAAATCGACAACCGAAATCAACAACAAATATACGAGGTCATTCATTTCACGTGTCCAGTTTATTAATTAGGATTTTCTAATTTACACAGGAAATATTGTCTTATTGGAAGCTTGGAACATGACAAATGACGGACGGATTGCACTGAATTGAAAGCCTCTGTCAACGGTTTTTCTATTAGCAGTGAAAAACAATCTGTCTCATTGGAAATGCAGAAACGGGATGCCTTAACGAATTATTTTCTCTTTGCTGTAAGTACATCGTATATTATTTTCTCCTGTTATTGGCATGAGGATTGATGGTTTTTGTACATACATGTGTATTGTATGCCTAGGCTGATATTTACTGTAATCACAATTGAGTTCATAGACTATTGTTCGTGTGTGTTCGAAAATGTGTAGCCGAAGGGTGTATTTTCAAATATAGACATTTAGATAGAGATAAATACACTGATAAAGTCATCTAAAGGCACCGCAAAGCTCGTCACAAAATACGTAAAAGGGAAACATTGATTTTGTTTTTCATATGCTCTGTCTGTTATGTTTTGATGAATATGCATGACTGGGTTTTATCATGCATTAGGGATTGTTTTCTCAATGAACCTTCCTGAAAACAGTTTGAGAATATTTTATGGTTTGTGTAGTCACGTGATTTGTCATGTAAGAAATGGACGTGTCATATTCAAACTCCGCTTTAAGAGTAGTAATTAAAACTGAATTTTTAAATGTTTTATATTTATCAATATGATACTGATTAGGTCTGTGTTGGGGCACGCGGAGACAGTCAGTCAATCATTGACAAACAATCACCTCAAACATCATAGGTTATGATGAGCATAATGTTATTATCGTACCATTTGATACCTAGCACCGGCGTTGTCAGATTGCACAGTAACCTTTTCCTGTATGATTAATGTTACGATCTTTGGAGCACTTTTTTTAACTGAATTAAAACAGTCGGATTCGCGCTGCGGGTCAGAGTATTAGTCACTTTTAATCCTGGGATATTATATGTCGAAACACTCTAATCAATTTCACCAAACAGATGAGGGGATGGAATATCAGTGTTAGATTTCAAACAAGTGTAAAGACATACTTCAGATATACCCCGAGGTACTAAAATCAACGAGTGATTGGAAATATGCCACGATGAATCTCGAATCTCGTTGCTTTTTCTGAGACAAGCTTCAAAATATTCAAATGCATTCTTAGCATGAAAACCCCATCTTCATTCAGGGAAATATGGAAATTTGATACATCTTTGTTGATAAAGCTCTACAGATATATAGCAAGCTAGCTATATAACGAACAGAGATGTGTGCAGAACCCTAGACGTGCGAAATATTCAAATCTGAAATGGAGAAAATTAAGTGTTTTTCATAATAACTTATCAGCTATTTTCTGTTAAGATCTGAAGATTATGTTATAACTGTATCGCATAACATCCCATGTGAAGTATATGATAAAGTTTACTAAAGTTGGAGAAAAACGCGTTTTCTCACCAGATATTTTTTTGCGAAGAAATAACATTGAGGTTAACAGAGATTATAAGATAGCTTAGTTTGATTACACTCCCTGAGATTTGCTTTGGGTTTCCGTGAAAAGGTTTTTCTAACAGCTGTAATGGGTATATGTTAGGTGGATTTTGACAGCGAATGCAGCAAGGAAAGTTAGCTATATACACCGAGAAAGTGCAATTGACATGATCCAGGAAGTGACAAATTCCATGTCAAATTCATTAAGTAGTTTAAACATTAAATGTTTGCCGGTGGTGTATTTGAGAATGTAATAAAATATGAGTTTTATTTTGACTGCAGTGAATTATGTATGTGGTACATATTATTTTTTATTGTTCGTGACAGTCAACGTAGGAGGTTTATTAATTAAGTCAGACAAAAGCCGTGGAAGCGTTTTGGAAAAAAATCTTACAAATGTAATCAATATCGGCTTCATTAAAATCAAGTACATGTTATTTTGAAACAGTCTCATGTCACCTACCTAGCTGGTTAGTAATGTGTATTTCAGATTGTTTATTTTACTGATTATGTCACCGGTGAGTCAAAAATATCAAAATACATAATGATTTCGAAATATAGAGCTTGTACTCAACATGAACACAACTAGGAATAATATATTATTATTTCTTGGTCTGATTGAATATTATTTATTATTCTGAATAATTAGTGTCTGGAACTATTATCAAATATGAAAACATTTTGTTTTCATAATCGTAATTCACTATTTACTTTCCTTTATTCTCGTGTCCCTCCTCTGTATGAAATTATTTGTTTACAAATTTATAATTATCACCAACAGGCTACCCCTCAACACTGGAGCACTAAAATAGCAATATCTAATATATGGAATCTTTGAATGAAATAATATGGTGTAAACATGCACTTAAGTTTTATATCAACAGTAAACATGATACTAAATCTGAGACCCGATAAACATAAGCAGACCTCATTAGCTATGAAATTCCCATAGCTATATAGTTCCCGACAGACCACGTGGTATTACAGACCGGTCCAGTAAAACTACATTATGGCGGTGTTATTACAAATTATAAAGATAATATAAAGTATTAACACTGCTTCGAGCTCACTAGCTGAATACCAAAGATAAGTAATAAAACACTAACACAGAATTATCGCAAAATTAAAATTAGCATGAAAAGATGTTTAAAATTATTAAGTACTTGGTGAATATAAACGTTGCTAGCGCTATCACACGAGACGGGCCTTTAACAGGAGTGTGTAGTTACTGAGGGTGCAATGAAATTCCTCGGAGCGGGACGTATAGCCCCGGAATTGTCGAAAAGCGTACATAAACGACACATAAAACCTTCCATAAACTGGCTTCGGAATATGAATGTCAAAAATCGAAGCATAACAGTGAAGCGGAGTTAAGCGACACGGCGCAAAGACAAAGCAATTAATCGTCTTGACATTGTGAAAATCGTCACCACTTACCGGCCAAAGTAAAAAGTGAATCCTCTAGTTGTAGTTTCTTGTGTTGTAGTGAGCGAAGTTACCCACTTTCCTCGGTTACTAGATCAAACGGTCTAAGCGAACAGCGGTCTCAAACCCCTGGTTGTAGCAGAGCCGAACATAGGTCAGAAGGGGTGGAGTTTACGGTTGCGACACGCCCACCAAGCTCCTGAGATAATAACATCAACAAAATGGCTTCCCCTCGGCGCAATGCGTTTTTGACAACGTCTTTGAATTAGGATGGAAGACAGTGGGGGATAGAGAGAAAGATGGAGTCGCGATGCGGGATGACAACGGTCTTTTCTCAAACAGTGGTCAGCGGTTTAGAAAGACTGATTTACGGCGTACGTGATTCATAGCGTTGAGGGACAACGTCGGGGGTAAAGGATTTACATAGACAAGACTAGCGCGGGAGACAATTCTACGAAACATGGAGGTATATTCACAAACAATAACACCGCCGTGCCGAATTCTCTATCAGACGGTCCATCTCTCCTAGAAACTAGTCCGCAGGTGAATCTCAATCACGACAGATGCCTCCGCAATACAATATAGATCCTTAAATCTTCTGACAAAATACCTCACTTTTTGTTGTGCTTGTTTTCCACAGTTTCTCATTTTACAATGCGATTTAAGTCAACGGTGCCTGTATCATATTTCAACTCAACCTAGGGTACAAAACACACCACCCATCCTAAATGATAGAGCGCAGTGTTGAAGCCTAGCTTGCGGAACTAAAAACAGACTAGGCCCCCTCTCCTCGCTTTCCTGTCATTTTGTGTACATTCTCTAGGCAAGCGTGGGGAAATTGTTTGATTTTGAGATAAAATAAGAGAGTTTGTATCATCTGTGCAATATATGGAGACACGCAGGTAAGTAATTATCAGGTCGAACTACTCTGGATTTCATAGAATATGGAAATTACCATTTCTTTATAATGCTTTGTTATCTTAAAGAGATGCTAATTGTTTAAGTGTTTCACATATCCAATTGCATCCCCTTAAAAATATGCGTACAAAATACACATATATGATCCCTACACAGTTTGGCGCTTATGAAATGACCTTAATTTTCCGATAAATCCGATATATTTGATAACTTGTTCTGTGAAGCACGTGGATGATAATTAAATATGTTAACGCTTTTGTCACATAGCTTTAACGCTGTTCACTTCTTTGTGAAGTATAAACTATTTTTATGAATAAAGCGTTCATAGATGATTATATATTTATTCCCTTAGTGCCAATTGATTGTATGTTGTATGCATTTTTTAAACGATAACTAATGTGTAGATAAAATTTGAATGGTGAAGAAGACGGAAAATGTATAATTTTGACATTTTCTCTGTGGCAATCAATTAAGACCAAATCAAGGTTTAATGCTGATTGAATGAAATTTAAATATAGAGCTTGAAGATGGAGAAACATAATTATCATTCAAGATTGTGACGGCATAGGGGAAGCGGCGATCAATTGAATTAACTGCGCAATAGTTTAATATTATATATTCCATTTCAAAATAAGGCTTTCTGTAAAACTTGCTAATCTAACTTAACTGTAGTTTTAACAGAATTTGTGAGAAATGTTATTCTAAGAGAACTTATATTTCCCTTGATTTACAACTCAAAAGTGTTTATTCCACTGATACAGTTATTGAATTATGAAAGTTTACAGTTTGTGTGCATTTCATATTATTTCCAGTGCCATTTTAACAATTCCAATTCCAAGCGTCCATCTGTCAATTTGAACTTCTATTTGTCTTATTTAGCATGGGATTACCGGAGGAAGAAATCTAGTTAGCATTGCATGTCAGGTGGAGGGAAAATGTTGTCGGTTAATTAGATTTCCTGAGTGATCTGGAGTAAAGTTATTGTCAATATGTCAAATTAATATCACGACTGTCTTTTAAATTTTCACGACTTGTCATCACAAATAATACAAATCAGAAATCTTTTATCAAATTAAGACTCAGATGGAAATTCGTTTTTTAAGGATTAAAATTCTATCTCTCCACTAACTCTACCTCCAATTGAACAAAAACTGTTTTAAATTCGTAATCTTAAGTAGAATGGACGTTTGGTTAATACATATTTACACACGTTACGTATGTAATTAAAATAAATTTAATTATAAACAAGCTAAGCGTATAAGAAATTCAAATATTTAATGCGGGAAAACAGTGCTCCACAAATGGTATGTTGGGATGTTTTACCTTAAAATCGGACATATCAAAGAAGGATTTGTTAATCACAATTAGCTACAGAAAGGCGAAGCGCATATATGTAGATACTCACAGTATTGATTTCACTTTCAAATCAGTACTCAAGGAATCAGAAGAAGTCGAAATGTGGGAAAATGTACTGTTGGAACAATCGAAGCTATACTTGCACGTGTAAATATTTCATTTTCTCCAAAATGATTCAAGTAAATTTTTATTGTTTAAGCTGTTAAATTAAATATCTGCAGAAGGGTTGAAATTCGCACAATATTACATAATCACAATGTACTGGAAACGAAATAAATATCACACAAAGTTACAAACCAGGTGGCACGTAATTTGATTTAATGTGGCAAAAATAGTATTTTTGAATATTAATAGATATAGTTATGTATTATGACTTCAGAAATATGGTCAGAATTATTTTAAAAAATACTATTTCAATTTGCATGTTAGGAAAAAGGATGTTCGCGATTTCTCTCAAATGAATCGCAAGATTAGTCATAGCTTTGTTACCGGTATATTAATGAATAAACTGTTTCATCATCGTTACTATTTATTCTAATATCACACCTCTGTTTCTGCTCGAGGTACAACCTAACATTTGTCTATTTAGTTCATGTACATGTGTTCTCATATTTGTCCACTGAAGCACTACACATGAAATATATCGCTTTTTGTCAACGAATGTAATTACCGTTTTGCATTATGGCAACCATGAATGCTTGTGCAGGGAAGTCTATGTTATTAATTACAGGACTTGTCTGTCAAAAATATTAGTTATGTGTAAACAATGAGATGTATTTACAGTCAGGAATTGTACTATTTTTGTAGCATATTAGCTTCCACGTCAAAATTGTCGCACTTGTATTAATACGATAGCTGGCTTGGTCTTGTAGAATTTTGGATTTGCCTTCTGAAAGACGGTTGTCTCATTGTCGTGCTTATTTATTAACAACGCTAGCACAGGTAATTTGAAGATTTTTAATGAATGAACATTTCCGACATGACAAGATCTGCAACAAATCGCATTGCACAACTAAAAATATAAACTAGCTGTGACCCATAACAAAGTAAGACTTTATAATATTTCAATGATCACCAACCATTACATACACTTACACAAATAAATTTGCTAATGCATGTGGCAATACAGAATTGGTAATTTATAATAATGTTAAATCATAATCATCTACGATGACATTTTGGGTTAAAATAGTTAAAATGTAACTCAAACATTTGTGAAATACTTTTTCATGAAACACCTTATTAATTGCAAATATAGTTTCTTTATAAGTATTTGTGTCATTTTAAGTTGATGGAGGTATGGTTTGGAGATTAGTCAGGTGAACAATTAAAACTGCAGCTATTGGATACGCATCCCCATCACATACCTCAACGCGCATCTCAGCCATCGTGAGATCTGTCGCACTTCCGCATGATTTCATCGCATACAACTCAAGAAACACAACAATACTTACCACCAGATGGTAACTAGGTTTATTGCAGGAAAGGTGGGAAATGTATTGATTAAAGCTTACAGTTATATGTTACGAAGTGATCATTTAGAAATATGCACGCGAATCAATAACCCACAATAGGTCGAATAGATAGGTGTCCCTTGGGTCGTGTAGCTTTATTGGGGTGGGGACTGGTTGGCGTAAAGGGTACGGTGGGATTGAATAGGCCTATAATATCATAAAGTGACATTCTAAATGCTTACCCATGACCATCATTTCTCAACCTTTTTCAGTTCCTTTATACTTTAATCTTTACAATGATTAAAACAGATTCAACTATTCTTAAACATGTGTCACATCATGTACAGCTTTCTCAATTATTAACATTAACATATATCGCGAACACTAAATGACAATCATCATGTATACATCCAAATTAATCATGATGAAGATTAATAAAGTAATTTGCCCACTTCGTTTTAAAAAAGTTACCTTCATTGAAGTAAAGAATATATTAAGTGTACCAAGAATCCATACCTATAACACCATTGTGGATTACTCACCGAAATTAGGTGTCACAGTGCAGATGAAACACCGACAAATACAATAATGTTGTGGTATCATTTAAAGCATGCAATTATGCGTTTATCCGGTTCAGTTCACACACCATGTCATCTTTTAAGACCACACGGGCATGCGCACAGTTTAAGAACCAAGCTTTTAAATTGCAGGTTCGCTTGAAGCTTGCTATCAAAATGAAGGACCAGGTTAAATATCCTTCCTAGATCTGTTTATTATGGGGGCACGTCTGGATGGTATCTGGCTGAGCTCCGACAGGTATACTACTCAAGGCATGTTTATAGAAATAAGGCACTGTGCAAATTGCTTGTCTGAAATACTCTTCAGAATGAATTACTACAAGGAAGTACGAGTATTTCATCATTTGTAGAATGACATTAAGAGTCATTCATGCATCGTCATTGATTGAAATCCTAGCCTCATATATTTGTGCAGTTGGTGTGCATTCATAATAACGTGTCATGGTTATCTAAATGTGAACATTTTGCTTATTACATACTTTGCTTTCGTTGTTGTGCTTATTTAACATAACTATCCAAACACAACATTGTAAAAAGCAAATGGAAACATGGTTTATTTTTACTGGCGAATTTTATGACAACTAATTGTAAACTCGCGTCAACCATTTCTTCAGTTATTTACAAATACATATCCACGACTATATAAAGGAACTCGGAACGGATGTTTTAGTAACCTCATGCTTACAGTATGGTCCCAAATGTTCGATAATTGTAATGGACGTACTGAGGACGAAATACAATTGAGTTTTACAATCATCACATGCATGACAAGTTTGCCCAACACATAGTTCGAGTATTGCTATGAAACAGCTGCTATATCTGCTGCACAGCTGGCCACTGTTTTTCGGAAGCATTTCCCTCAGCTGTATTCTCCAGAGAAATACGTATATTCATTTTTTTCTGAACGAATATTTCTACACAGCTGTCAAACGTTTGTTTTTGTAATCATAATTTTAATCCGTTAAATACACGAAGAATACCCGGTCAAATCTTACACCAATGTACTCACTATGATAAGTAAGAATTGCGCATACTGGCAACGACCCCTATCGCAAGGTAATTGATCAGATTGCATCAGCTAATATCTATCCATGTGCAAACCATTCATGACGTTTGCCCAAGGAAGCGATACCAGGATAGCAGTGACTAGGAATTATAGG